TACATGCGATACTCCTGAGCTCCTCAACCTGAAGTTGAATGTCATTTGGCCCTTTTGCACTGATGTCGTTCTTAGAGCGAAGAAGCCTTTCTGCATTCACCTTTTAGCCAAACTGTGAAAATAAAAGGGCGCCTGAGATGACCATGTTTTTCTTACTAATGGTCCTCCACTTCCATAACTTCCCTGGCCCAGGTGGTCCTATGTTATATCTAACTGAGGAAGCTACTGTTCAAGCTTGAAGCCTTTAGAAGAGGTGAGGCACTGTCCCGTTACCAGCGGATGTTTTCAATTCTTTCCTTACCTCAACCTTCATGCACAGAATTATATTTCTGTGTGTAAGTGTGTGGTACCAGGGATTGAACCCAGAGCCTTCACACTGAGCTGGATCCCTAGGCCTTTTGTATTTTCTGTTTTGAGACAGAGTCTCCCTGAGTCACTCAGTTGCCCAGGCTGGAATCATACTTGCTATCTTTCTGCCTCTGGGATTACAGGTATCTACCACTATGCTGGCCCAAATGATACATTTTATCTGTCCACGCTCCAAGACTACAAATTCTTCTAGTCCAATGGCTTTTAGTTTAGAATCAGAACCATTCTGCAAGCTGTTTAAAATGGGGGGATCTGAGAGTTTCTATTTTTGAGGGGTTACCAGGTATTGAACTCAGGACCTTGCACTTGCCAGGCAGGCAGTTGTGCTACTGAGCTAGATCCCTGAGAGTTTCTGATGTAGTAGGTCTGCTTGCATTTCAAACAAGCTCCTTGATGATATTGACGCTACTGCTAGTCTGGAGAACACATTTTGAGAAACACTGTCGTAGAATAAGAATCCTGTCTTCCATTTACCGAGCATCTTCTATGTACCAGGGCCCTATGGTACTCTGTTTCTAAAAGTTTAGTTAATGCTGAAGTTCAGGTGTGTCTTATCATCATTTACACCTGAATAAGGATCCTACTGCCACACCTACTTCCACAGCCAAGGGAAGGGTGCAACTCTCCCCTATAAGAAAAAGTTTCAGTCAGCTAGCTGTGTGTTCTCAGCATCCAAACCTTTTTTCTGCTTTGTGATAGCTTCTCTACTAAATGTGTGTTTAATAACTTGTGATCTACATAGACCAGAAACAGGCAAGAAAAATGCTTGCAGTTTTTGAAAGAAAAGGGACTAAGATATCCAAGGGAGGAGAAAATTGCATTGAAAGCCTTTTATATACCTCAGTGTAAATGTACATTTATACTTTGGTGGTAAATGTAGGTAAACTTTTACTCTCTCCAAAGCATTTCCTACTCCCCGTGTACTTTTAATACTGTGCTATATAATTCTTCAGGAAAAAAGAATGCTGAAAAATTGGCACAACATAGAAAGGGGCTCTTGAATGGAGTTATTCCTAATTATAGACTCACCATTCTATAATCGGCTAGGAATCTGTTGCTCAGCCCCACTGTGGTTTCAAGGTAGCCATCAGAGATTGAAACTGAACTCTTGACTAATGCACCTGCACGCTAATTGTATAATGAAGGAATCACTAGTTCAAGGCCGATTTTCAAATATTCCCATGGAATTTCACCATTTCTCCTAGCCAAGAAACCTGACTATAGTCACTCTTGGGACTTAAAAGCCACCCACTGCCATCTTGTTTTTCTCCTCCTGTTTGTGTGAGAATCCATGGCTTGGCTGTATCCATTTGCTCCCATAGAAGCTCAGTTTTCTCACTGCACCTTTTTAAGTCCAGCATAATATTATGGGCTAGGGCAGGTTGGGAGGCAAACTATCTACATCAGAGAAGTTTTGGCTTTGGTCTCTTATGTAACTGAAAGATTTGGGAAACAACATGAAAACACACTACTGTTCCCCCATTATAATAGCATGGTTTAGTAGGATAAGAGCATGGGACAGATTGAAACTCAGATCCTGTTTTCTGGCACTTGCTATGCAAGCTTGAGCAAGCGCTCTGTCACAGGGAGCCTTGTTTTCCTCATCTTTAAAATTGGTCAGGGCCGGGGATATAGCTCAGTGGCATAAGTGCCTCCCTGGTAAGCGCAAGGTCCTGAGTTCAATTCCTGGCACACACACACAAAAAATTGGTCAACAGGTACAATGTTAGGAGGAAAAGGTTGTGGTGTTCTGGTATACAGGATAACAATACTGTATCAGAAAGTTCAAAATAACTAGAGGAGTTTTAGTGTTCTTAGCACAAAAATGATCAACGTTAGGGGTGACAGCTATGTTAAATAATTTGATTTGATCATTGCACATTGTATACACACATGGAATATCACATTGTACTCCATACACAGTATAATTGTTGGGTCAATTAAAAATAAACTAAAACTTCAAAATAACACATGGATTACAAAATGCAGTAAAATGCGAGTTAAACATAACTTGCAGGTGTGTGTAAAGGCTGGTAGAAAGAACCCATCAAGTGCCTGTTACCTAGTGGCTGCTTAGTAAGTGGTAGCTATTATTCATTTCTAAGCCCCTGCCTCTGCTTCTTCCTTGTGTTTGATGGAATTTTTGCCTGAAAGAAAAAGAAAATGAGAACTGTTTTAGAGGGTTCCACACTTTCACTCTTCTCGTTTTTTCTGTATCCCCAACTCCCTTTGTCCTCATGCCAGCCCTGACAGGCACTTGAGCAACTGAACACAATCATGTTTACAGGGCTTACCTGCAGTGATTACTGAGCGTGACTGCAGTGTTTTATAAAGTCCTAGAGGGTGCTAATAACATCCTATAAATATCCCAATATAACCTGGTATATGACTAGAACCTGCTGGACAGTGGGAGTTACTAAACTGCAGACCTGGTTTTACACATTTGGGCCTTCTCGAAATCACTGCAATGGCAAGCAGAAACAATGAAATGACACCCAGGATTTGAAAGCAGATTTATTTACATCAACGGGCACTGATCAGGACCACTCCCAAAATATCAGGCCCTGATCTCTAGTGGTCTAAGGTTTATACTGGATAAGCAAGCAGGAAGTACAGAGGCAGAATGGCTTGCGATTGGGGATTGGTTTATACAATGTGGATCATAGGGACCTATACATCACACTGACCAGCTGTTTCTAAGAGACAGGAACAGCTGGATCTGGAACAGGAACTATTAACTTGGCAACTAACAAACTCAAGTACACTGGCTGGGGGGGTGCATTTTCTGCTGCATTTCCCCTTGGAGGGGATGCTGTATACAGCCAACTGCTGTTAGTAAACTTGCCACCAATGATGCAAAATAATCTGGTCCAGAGGCCTAAGCCCCCTCTGGGGATCCAACTGACTGAAACATCAGCCCCAGCCAGAAAAGCTTTACCAAGTATTCCTGGAAGATCAGAGCCAGATCTGCCCCCAGCATTTGTTCTACAAGCTCAAGCTGCAGTGCTGACACCCTTTTCCCTACCGCCAGCTCAGGCTTTGGTGTCTGTGTCATTGGCTCTGACCTCATGCATTATAGTGGACTCTCTGCATCTAAAGATATATGGATAGATTACACAGAAATAAAACATAATCCTACAGAAACAGCTTGTATCCAGTTAAAAGACCAGCTATATCTGTAGACATTCCTGCACACACATATAAGCCAGGTACATATTAACTACCTCTACAATTTTCAGAAATCCAGCCTTAGACCTGCTGAAAAATTTACCTGGACAGCTCCTCTGTGGCTCACTCTGAAGAAACAAAGCATGCTGACCAGTCCATACAGAACTGAAGCCTGAGGACACAGTTCACAGGATTGCTCCATACCTATTGCCCTTGATTTGGGTGTCTTTTCAGGCTGCTTATCCCAGTCCTTGCTTCTCCGCACCCCTGCTAGCTGTGGTTCTTATTAATTGACCTGGCTTCTGCTTACCCCAGGCCTTGCTTCCCCATTCCCTGCTAGCTGTGTATTTTTTTTTTTTTTTTGCCTTAAACTATGGTTGCCCCAAGAGAACAGAACAATCAATCAAACACTTAATCAAGGTTTCATGAGTGTCCAAGACACGTTGGACACTCTCCTAGATCAGATTAACTCCCTCACTACCTTGCCAGAGTAATGTTACAGAACAGACAGGCCTAAATTCTAGTTGGGACTTGTCTCTGAGTATCACAGGTAATATGTCCAGCAAAGATTTGCTGGAGAAACTGAAAGAAGGGGGAAATGTAGCAGGAAATACCCACTCCAGCCAGCATACTTCAGTTTCTTAGCTGCCCAGCTAATAACTCCTGTTCCAGATTCAGTTGCTCCTGTCTCTTAGAAACTGCTGGTCACTATCATACACACTGTATAAACCAATCCCTAATTGACAAACCATTCTGCCTCTGTGCTTCCTGCTTGCTTATCCCATATAAGCCCTAGACCACCAGAGGACAGGGCCTGATATTTGGGAATGATCCTGATCGGTAACAATCAACATAAGTAAATCTGCTTTCAAATCCTGGATGTCATTTTGATGTTTGTCTTGCTTGCTGTTGCCCCAGAGCTAAGGTCCCAGAGATATCTTTCAAGTATCTTAAATTCCATAAAGGGACAAAATGCACACATGATAATACTGCTGACATCTTTAAAACACACTTAAATTTTATGGCAATTTAAGGGATTTTTCTGCCCCCCCCCCTTTTTTTTTGCAAAGTCTGTAATTTCTAGCTGAAAATCACAACCTAGATTTAGAAAAAGTACAATTAATACTTAGCAAGGAAACAGAGGCGTTTGAAACTTCGATTAAGAAAAATAAGGCACTTTACCTGAATAAATTTCAAATGGATCCATTTAAAATGAAATTAAATGACACTTAACTGGTTTGTAAATTGGAACCTATTTATCTTGGTAAAATGATTAAAGTCTTGATTTATCTCTAAAATTAGCTTTATTATTACATTTAATTGTACTAGAAGATCGTTAAAGACTTGCAGGTCCTCTCTCTCCTTTTAAACTACACTTTATATAGATAATAATTGAATATCGGATAGGATAACTTGATTTTCCAAAGAAATATGTTTCTAATATTTCCCTCTTTTTATTTCAGAAATTGAAACAAGTTGAAGAAACAAAAGAAGATCCTGAGAATAGATTATCTAAAATTTCCCTTGAGTCGTTCAATAAATTTAACAGCAATAGTGTGATTTTATTAGAAAAAGAGAACTCCCTGAGCAAGGTTGGAGGACAAAAGGAAGAAAGAGAAAGAAATGAAGAGGCATCTTTAAGTAGCTCCGATCGGCCTGGGGTAGACAATTTGGAATCTTTGAGTGATTCTTTATATGACAGCTTTTCCTCTTGTGCAAGTCAAGGTTCAAATGATGTATAAAGGATTTTTCACCCCCTTAGAGCTGGGAATAGAGCACTTAAAAAATGAAAGCAGGGCGGGGTGGCGGATGTACAGCTGTTAGCCGTAAAGGATTGCAACACCTGTGCCTACCTTGGGGCGTATACAGCAGGCAACCCACCAGGGCTTCTTTCTCTGACAGGGCAATAAAGATTGAATCCATTGCTGTGTTTCAAGAGGATTAAAAGTAAACACGATACAGAATTCTTAATTTTGCACTTTTTAAAATACTTGTACAGAAGTTGTAAATTTTTTTGGAAGAGAAATTATATTTGTAGGGAAGAAAAAGATAGCAATAAAAGGAATCTGTGCCATGCTCTTGAAATGATGTACTAAGTCTTAGAAGTTGATGATAATATATATTTTTAAAAATTCCAGCTAAAGATTTTGTGAAGTTCATTGTCCTCGTCCTCAACATATTTGTGGGTACACTCTGTAAACCTACACCACGGCCTGCAGAAAAACCAGAGAGATCCTGCTCATCTCCATCTCACAGTCTCATTTTGATAGATGTTTTTAATTGCAGTGCAGTTTTATAATTGTTGCCCAAGAGATTCACGTTTTAATAATAATTCTGCTTCCACCGAAGAATGAAGTGTGGACACTGGGAAATGTGACCCTATGTCCAGAAGCAACCTAATCCTACTTCTAGGATTTCCCTCTAGACATTTCCTTACATCCCCTCTACTTAGTGATTGTCTATGACTCTCGATATTATTTGTTGATTTTCATCTTCCTACTTTTAAAAATTACAATCTGGGTACTCTGGAAATGAAAACAAATTCCTATTTGGTATGTTCACTTTCTAACAAATAAAATCAGTGATTGGTGCTACAAAAATGTCTTACTTTTTAATATTCTTTTTGCTACAAAGACTTTATATGTAAGGATAAATTCTATTTTAAAGGTTATGTGTATTTTTTCTAGATGTGAACTATTTATAATTGCTTTTGTACAGGAGCTTGTAAACTAGGTATAATAGAGATACTTTTAGGATCTACTTGGTTACTTTAGCACACAATTGTGTCTTTAAAGAATATTGTATGATCAGTGTTATTTTGTTAATTTGTGCAATTTGTTATATCTGAATTTTGTTACCCTAATGAAAATTATGTAAAGCGTCCTTGTCTTTCAGGCTTTTAAAAATCCTTTTGTTTCATTTCTGAATAAAGTCCTTCCACAGTTGTACCCTCTATATGCTGAAAAGAACTTGCTCACGAACCCTCTGGCTCACTCAGCTGTATCAGTCGTGATTCACACGTGTTCCCAAGGATGGCTTTCCCGAAGGAATAAATAAACTGGCCCTTTTGCTCCCGTGATTGTAATTCAACCAATTGTAAGATCAGAGCCTGCAGACCAGCGAGTAACGGTCAAGTCGTTTTGGCTTCCCCGAGGGGTTAACCAACTAGAAAGGAAGGTGGGGGGTGCAAAGGCAGAGAAGGAGCCTGAGGCTGATACGAAAGGATTTCTGCAGAGGAATTACAAGAAAGTCATTTACGCCCATTTGCAGACCTGCTCTGCCGGCAGCACGGGGAAATAAATGACCTGCGTCCCAGCTGCAAGAGCTTCCCCACGAGGAGGCGGGAAGAGAGGCGCAGCTTACAGGGCTATTTCCACTGAAATGGATGCTCCCCGGGGATTCGGGACCAAGGGGTGGGAACGCGCGGGATGGGGGTGGGGGCACAGATGAGCTCGGGCGGGCAGGCGCGCGGACTCCGGCACCACCTGCTGCAAAGCTCGGCTAGGAAGGCGAAAAACAGCACAGCGGCGTCCTGGGAATATGCAAGGTGGGTGTCACCTGGAATTGGCGAAGAGAAATTTGGGGTGGGGCGGGGTGCGGCGGGAGAAAGAGCCAATGTCCAGGTCCTGGGCTGGGACTGCGCCTAGCGCAGTACATGTACTCGTAACGAGTGGCCTTGGGGGACCGAGTGAAGCCCGCCCCGCCTTTCGGAGGGAGGGGAGGAGGAGAGCCACCTCTTCGCCGGGATTCGCTTTCTCCTGGGAGCTCCTAACGGTGGTCCCTAGGGCGCACTTCCGGGCTAGGCGGCCGCCTTCAAGTGTCAGTGCCCTCTCCTGTGATGCGCGCCGGGGGCGAAGAGGGGGTGGCGGGGACCCGCGCGAGACGGTCAGGGTCCCCGCCGCCCTCGCACACATCCAGAGGAGGCCGAGCCCGGTGCTGACCCGTCCCGAGGGCTTCTCGGAGGAGGAGGTCGCGCCGCAGCTCGGGACACCCCGGGGAGCCTGCGGGAGCGCAACTCGCAAGTGCACGGGAACACGCCCCCCTCACCGCCCCCAGCAGTCGCCCCGCGGCACTAGCGCCCGGGCTGGGTGGCCAGACCCACTGGGGGTTGCTCGCTATCAGCAGCGGGAGCAGAAGGCGTGCGAGGCCCGGCGGTGCACTCGCCACGCGGGAGCCCAGTCGGCGTGGGCCAGGTCCCCAGGCACCTGCTGCACCTTCCTGGACCGCTCCCCCAGCCTCTGAAAACTACACTCCCCGCGGCCCCCGGGCGGAGGGCTGGGATCCCAGGATCCGAGGAGGCGGGAGAAGAGGGAGGCAGGAAGGGGTGGGGACTTCGACGGTCCCCGCTTTTCCCCGCCTGCCGCCCCCGCCCCCACCCGGCAGCCGTCACGTGGTGCGTGGCGTGGGAGGGGGGAGAAGAGGCGAGACTTTTTTGGGTGCTCGGAATCGCCCGTAGTTCTTCAGCTTCAGCCGCCAACTCCGGAGGCACCGCGCTCGGCCCAGGAGAGCCGGCGAGAGGAGCGGGACCCGCGAGCTGCGAGCCCTGCGCGGGCGATGCGGGCGCCGAGGGCGACACCTGCGGCTCCTCTCGGCGGCGGCCGTCGCCTGGGCGGCAGCAGCGCGGGCCCCAGCAGCCTCGGCAGCCACCGCCGCTGCGGCCCGGGCCGCCCTCGCTTCGGTCGCCGCCTCTGATGCGCCTGCCCGCTCCCTGCCCCGCGGCTCCGGGAGGATGTGGGTCCTCGGCATCGCGGCAACTTTTTGCGGACTGTTCTTGCTTCCAGGTAAGAGGACCCGAGACCAACAGCTCCTCCAGTCGCAGACGCCCCGTGGCCCGTTCGCTCCCAGGGCGCCCACCCCGGGCCAGCGTAGCGCGGGGATTGCCCGGCGGGAGTTTGGCGGCGGGGACTGGCGCCCGGAGGCGCTAGACTAGGAAAGTCTCCAAGTCCCGCGCTGCAGGAGGACCGCGGGGAGCGGCGGGTTTGCGCGACTCCGGCTGCAGCTGCTCCGGCTACTGCGGGTGGAAGCTGGGCTGGGGAGGAGGGAGGGCCTGAGCCGCGCCGTAGCTGGGCGAGAGAGAAGGTGCGACATTCCCGAACCTCACCGAGTTGTCCTGCGTCTCTGGCAACCCGCGGGCGCGTCGGCGCCGACAGGTGAGCGGAGCCCTGGGCAGCTTGGGGCCGGGCCGCTCCGGGGCTGCGTCGTGGGGCGCGGAGTGGACACACCAGAGTCGGAAAGCGCTGGACAGTAGATCTAGATGAAGCGCCCAAACCCAGGCAATCAGTCTGAAGGGATGGAAGGTGCCAATATCCGGCGCCTTCTTAGCTTACCAGCTCCGGAGTGACCCCGGCAAAGCTGGGACCCTCGCCGCGGACCGAGCCGGTGTTGCCCTAAAAACGTGGAGCTGGGGAGAAAGGGCTGCGGTGTGGCGGTCTGGGGAGCGAGCACACACACGCCCACTCCTACCCACTGCACCCACCCCAGCGGCGGGGAGAAGGTCCGGGGAGGACGCTGAGCCCGAAGACTTAGGGCGCTGGAGCACTTGGTTTCCAGAACCTCTTCCTTTGCTCCGCGAATCCTTGCGCAGGAAGCCTCAACCAAAGCATAGGAAATAAAACTGAAAGGGCGTCCGCAAATGCAATCACGAACGGTGCCAAAATAGTAATTAAGTAATTTGTAACCAATTAGCAATTAGGCAAATCCTTTGGCATAGACTTCAGCTGATGCTCCTCTCTAAAGCTACTTTGCTCTCGGGTTTGCACCCAATCCCCCTCCTTTCAACTTCTTTGGAAAAGGCTGGAGGTGTTGTTGGATGGGCTCTTTGTGCCTAGGGCAGGGATCTAGGGTTCCATGGGAAAGATTCCACTTTATCCTGAGGACCTATGGTACCCATGCCGCCCGCCGCCAGCTTCAGCCACGTCCAGCTCTATCTAGAGTTTCAGGGGTGCGGGTCCCCAGACGTCCTGAGGCTGGGAGCCTCTGCTCTCTGAAGCCAAAAAACCATGGAGGTGTCAGGATCTGAACAAGACTCTGTGTGTCCCGCAGGCTTTGCGCTGCAAATCCAGTGCTACCAGTGTGAGGAATTCCAGCTGAACAACGACTGCTCCTCCCCTGAGTTCATCGTGAATTGCACGGTGAACGTTCAAGACATGTGTCAGAAAGAAGTGATGGAGCAAAGCGCGGGTAAGAGTCCCGCAACTCTTTCCCCGCTCCCCGCCCTTCAGCCCAGCCTCTGGGGTGAGAGCGAGGGGGCCCTTCCATTACAGAAGGAGGGACCGACTGTGATTGAATGCACACATGCACTAGTTATTGCAGATTTACTTTTATAGTGCTGGGAAAATGAAGAGTTCCGAGTTACTTTAATCTCATTAGAGTTAATTACCAGGGCTTCTCCCCAAGGGAACTGGGAGGGGAAGTGCATGTAAATCAGTAGTTCTCCTTTTATTTACTCCCCTCTCTCCTTGAGCTAGAAGCTGACCAGAGGGTGGAAAATATATGGATGACCAGCCGTGGCTTGGGCAACCAGACAGTAGCCTGTGAGTGGTGTCAGCCTGAAATATGGAGCTAGTTGAAGTTCCCAGAGGTCAGAGCTTGAAAAATGTGTTTTGTCATAGAGCCACACCATATTTCTCTGAAGAACACTATAGGATCTTTATTTAATTTTAGAACTAATGCATCAAATTCCAGGCACAAATTGCCAAGATCTTTCAAAGGAATGTTGTTCCCTGCCCTGTCAGCTTAGCTGGCTGAGCAGAGACCCTGGACATTATACAGGGAAGGAGGGGGCTTGTTGGGGACAGACCTCACTCTAGTTTTAAAAAAAAGTCTTCTTGGACTCCCAGTGCCCCTAATAGACTTATCAGAAGTCAAAGTGTCCCCCCACAGCAAGTAGCTGAAGTTTAAGAAAATCTGTGAAACTCCTACTTCAGTTGCAAGGTCAAACTCATGAATAGCCTTTGCCATTTAAAGGCTGTTGCAAATATCTGAAATAGTATCCTGATGAATGCCATTAAAAAAATCAAAGCCTTGTTCCCCTTTAGTTCCATGAACAACTCACAGCCCCATGAAGCGAACAGAACTCTCATGTGCTTTCCTTAAGCCCCTGGCAAATCAATGCAAGGTCACTAGCTTTAAAGTTAGCACCTTGGGAAAGTATTTTTCTCTCAAGAAGCACCAGCAAATGTCTTCTTGCTAACCAGCCCATCATTTGAGAAGCACATCCCCAGTACCCCTAGCATAGCTGGTCCCTGTGCTGTGATGTGTGTACTGTCTCATCAGCTGTTCTTCATAGGCCGTTATTGGCTGTGGTATGGATTCTTTCTATCAAAATCACACTGCTGGGAAGTCTGAGATTTATTGCTCTTAAGAATAACTTCTCCCAAGAAAAGCAGCAAGCATTGTTTGGGCATATGGAATGTGTGTTATTAAAAAAGCAGAACCGAAGAAAAATGTAGTGATGCTTTATTAAGCTAAGATTGATAGGGATAATTTGCACAAGTGATTTCTCTTGTACTTGTGTTTTATTCCTGCATTTTACCTGAGCAAAAAAGAAAATGCCCTTCTATTAGCAGAACTGCTATGATTTTAGTCGGAATCACTGGGAATGCTTTATTGGTACTTTCAAGTATTTGCAGCTTTCCGCCAAGTAGTAATTTAGAGCCACACTAAACGAAGATGTACTGTGGACCTGTGAAAAATTTCAGAATTCTCGAAGTTTACCTGGGTATTGTGCTTCATAACCTCAGATGTAATTGAGGAAAGGATATGAACCCAATTCTAGGCAGAAAGTTACAGTTCGTGAAAAACATTCCTTCCTCCATATGTGTGTATCTAAGATATATAGCACATACTCCATTTTCAAAGTGCTGTTTTTCATCTTCATTCTGTCTTCACAAACACATTGTAATAACTCAGAAGAACCATAACCGTTCCCATTTTATACACAGAAAACTTCAGCATAGAAATCTAAGTGCCTGGCCTGAGGTTGCCTGTTTTCTATTAGCGTGGTCAAGTTGAGCACCTTGTTTCCAAACTAGGTTCCTCCTTCCACAGGCAATAGGCTAGAAGGCCAGCAAGATGGAAATATAAGATAATCTCAGTTGTGATATTTGCACAATGAAGCAGTTGATGAATGCAAAGCAAAAAATGAATGTCGAGGGGAAGAACAATAGGTTTAGGTTATATGCAAGGGAATCGGAGCCTAAATTCTGGAGAAAAGAGGCAAATGCATTTGTCTCTGCATCAAAGAGCAATATTTGAAGGCTGATAATTCCCAGGCACTCTCAGGTTTAGAATTATGTAATTGTTAGAAATCAAGTTTTTTTCCAGTAAGAACAGCGAACAAACTTAACACTGTTAAACGGTACGATGTAATTTGACCACTACAGTAATAAGACCTAATTTTTGAGTGTGCCTGAATATCTGGCTCTTTCCTAGCACTTTACATGTAGTATCTCATGAAATCTGATAATTCTCCTTCAAGGACTGTTTCCCCATGCCAGAAGCAGTTACTGTTTAATTCTATTGCATGGTCAAGTTCTCCATTCTGCAAAAAGAAAGTAATGCATATTATACACTATCAAGAAGTCAAAGTAGGAGCTAACTAATAATACATGCTGTACTGAGAACGCTTAGTGCATTAGAGCCAAATGGACCCACTGATTCCTAATTAAGGGTGTTTATTGGCATCTTCTTCAAGTCTTGTTCTAAGCCACATGACTTGCCCAGCCCCATGAAGCTCATTTTATAATTTTGTGGTATAAATGGCTCTGGATCTTTTATAACCACCCCATGCATTCTGGGTGCTCCAAGTTAAGAACTGCTAATCTGAACAAACATTTTTTGAATCATACAGTAACAAAACAAGGCCCAGAAAAGTTAAACATGTGGTCCAAGTCCATCAACCCAACGGTTATTAAGAAGCACTTGAAACCTGCTGTGTAACTCAACGCCTTTCTTATCATGTCACCACCTAGCCTCTCGTAGAGTAAGAAACTATATCACCAAGTTTGCCTGAAAAGATACTTGAGGCAAAGTTCTACGAACTTAGACAGTTTTTCATGTCCCTCAAGTTTGCCAGGCAGGCTGAGCAGACAGGCAATAAGGTGAATGTCGAAAGAATATGAAGTAGGGTTTTTGAAACCCGAGTGCTGTGTGAACTGGCATTTTTCATGGATAGAGAAAAATCGGGGCTTTAAATGGACTAAGAAATTTTAATGAACTAAGCCAGTATGACATTAAGCAGTAATGAAAGGCACTCTCTCTGCAAAAAATACCAGCGAGGCAGTATGCCTTGGCCTTGAGTCAGTCCTTTCTGGATTAAGTCTGCAAACTCAGCTCTTAGGAATTTTGAGGCAGGTACATTTAATTTTTGAGAGGGAAGTACATTTAAAATTAACCTTTACCTATTCCCCAGAGTGGTATTTCTGTTAGGTGCTGAGATTATTATCTATTGCTGCTTTTCCTTTTTGCCATTTCTGGAATAATAATAAGGTACATGGGGGGAAGGGAGGTTTGGTTCAGCTTCTTTCATTGTCCTTACTAATTGATATTTAAATGTTTGCATAACTAATGACTTGTTCTCACCAGCTTTGCACTTAATGGGTTAGTGTCTGTTTACCAGCACCCTTGATAATGACAGTCCTTTTGCTCTTGTTTATCATTGCATTCCGCAAAATATTTCAAATATTGATTTTCATTTCAGAATAGAAGCCTCCCCCTTCTAGTATGAATTTTTAAACCAGGTTATAAAGAATGTGAATTTGCATTTGTTTGACAGTGCAATCTTGTAATTAGAGTTTTTCCTCTTGACTAGATACAGTGAAAGGGGCATAATTTAATTTTTATAGACTAGCCAATTTCTGCCCTTAGTAAAATATAGCTCTGTCAGTGAGCAAAATGTTACAGGTTCTCCTAAACCTTATTTAAAAGTTAAATGCAGTATATTGAGAGAAAGTTCATGGTCTGAATCAGTAACCTAATCGATCTCCTCACCCATCCTTTGCAACATGCATTAATCTATTTGTCTGTTTTGCAATACAAGAGTTACTGATTTACATGCCATGTTGTGTGTACATTATGGCTGGATAAGTAATGGCAGTCTCTTTTTGGATTAGTTAGTTGCTCATTAAGTAAAGCAAGGATTGCTCCAGGCTTTGGGTGGGTTTATTTTATGCTTTATTTTCTCCTCAGCAGAATGAGAGAGCAAGAGAGGACTAATGTCCACAAAGTAACCCGTCATCCATTCTTAGTAGAAAGAAATGGAAAGGTAATTCTCAAGTCTAAAAGAAATTCTCAAGTCTAACGCTGCTGAATTTTTATCAAGATTTAAAATCATAGGCTTGTTTGGCCTTGGTGTGAGCTTGGCAGGGAGGAGACCCAGCTGTGCTAAGCAGTCATATCACAATTCCTCTACGTCTGTTCTTTTAAGATGTACGCGTGCACTCAATAGCATGCACATACACAATGGCATAGGTGCGTGCTTACATATTTTTGCCTATGAATATTTGCATATGCCATATGTCACTCTTATAAGAAAAATGAAAGTATTAAGCATTAAGTCCTCCGTGGTGGAACTTCAGATTGCAAATGATTTAATCTGTGCTGTCTTTAGGCACAAAGATATTTTTAACATTCTTTTTTTTCCGGAAGGTCTTTACTCAGCGTAGAAATGATACCTGTTAATGTGTTGTTGTCCCTCACGTGCTCATCTCTTCCCCGCTCCTACCAGGTCTCTCTGTTATCCTACTTTTGCGCATCCCCCTGCAGTCCTTAACTTTCTCATCCTTATTCTCTTTAAATCAGTCGATGGGTAGTAGAATATGCTGTGTGAATAAAACCAAAATCGAACATTGAAAAATCATCATGGTTTAGTTTTGGCAAGTGAAACCTCAACAGGTTAAAAAATCTTTACAAGAAAAAGATTCCAATGTCAAGGAAGACATCTGCATATATCAGTACCAGCCTTGCTAAAAAGGTTTCCCTGTCAACTTCAATAAAGTTATGAATTGCACAGGTTTTCTGCTGCCATGAGCGTGGCTGTCTCTACTCCTGTGCTTTGGGGGCAGTAAGAGAACACCTTTCTCTGCAGGGCAAGACATTTTGCCAATCAGCTTGCTCACTTAGTTCTCCAGATACATCCATCTCTTTAATGTGGCAGGCGGAGCTGGCTTCTGAGCAAGTAC